AATCAAAAAAAAAAAAAAAAAAGATTCCAAAAGATTCCCACAGAGAAACAGAGTCCATATTCTGGAGGTATTAAGGAAACTCTAAATACTATGGAATTGAAAGGAAAAAAAATTATCAACCACACGAGAAAGACTACCTGATACTTCAGGGTAAGGTCTGTGGGGCAGAAGCCCAGGTGGGAAGTGCGTGGTCGAGTGAAGCCCTCATGCACAGGGGCCAGCAAGCATCCTTGGGTCAAGCCCTGAGAGGGCTTTGACTTGAGGAGGGTTTCGTAGATTCCCCAGGAGCAGGGGCTCTGGTTACAACCACCACGGCTCCCTCAGGTACCCGGAGGCACACTGGCGGGCACCTGTCATCTCAGTCTTTTTTGCTACCTTTTATACCAATTAAATACCTTTCTCAGAACATTAGTCCCCATGTTGGTCTTGAGACCTTTGAGGATTGTGTGCGTGTGTGTTTGTTTCATGTTTACAATTCCTTCCTTTTGCATAATTGTTTTGGTTAATTTCATTATTAGTATTTATTTTTAAGCCAAATGTTTGTAGTCCTTCAGCCTCCCCCTCGTCATTTTTCTGACACTAACTTGTAGGTGTTTGTTAGAGTCTTCTCAGAAACAGCTGGGCAGGAGGCATCTCCCGGCCAGGTCACTGGGCTGGGAGTTTTTACATCCAAGGGTTTGCGATCCACAGGTGGCTGAGAGGTGCCATCTGAAGCAATTTTTATAGGCTATTTTAAAAGGCTCTGTTGTACGGAAGGAAGTTGTGAACGTTTCGGTGTGCCCTCTGCGCCCAGCCACCGTCCCCTGTGTTACTCGCACGGGAGGAGTTTGATGTGCAAAGCAGAGCTGCTTCACTGTCTGTGTCTCTCGTTAAACAAGGTGGATGCTTGGATGAGCACCAGTGCGCTAGTGCTGGATCGACCTCAAAGGAAAACAGTAGTATAGCTTTACAAGTAACTGTGTTGACTGAAAAACTGAGGTCTAGTAAAGGAAAACATTACTTCTACCTGCTTGTTTTCTGCAGTTCGAGGCCTCAGTACGCACCAGCAAAGGTTCAGCTATCTAACCGGCAGCTACTCTCCTGTTGCGTAGGACATCTCTAGCTCTGTATAGCTCCTTGCCTGAACAAACTGAAACTGTTACACTGCTGGCCCTGAGCAGCCCTTAGCAAGACTGATGTAATTTTCTGCTACTGGATGAAAACCTTCACTGGGAGACAGACCTTGTCTTTGTTCCAGCTATAAACTTTCAAAACACACAACGATAGACCAAGCAATTGAAAATTTTGCACCACTGTGTCATAAGAAGAAGTTTCAATGTATAGTGTAGAGATTGCTAACTTGTGCTATTAACATTTTGACAAGCGTGTAGTATCATTTTCTTTCCTTTTTTTTAAAAACCATTTAGTATTCCTGCGCTAGCTACAAATATAAATTTTACCCCATGGGTAGGATTTTATTGTTAAATGCCATAATGAAGCACACTAATCTTGACACCGCAGATGGAAATACGAACCAAAACCAAAACCAAGCAAACAAAATCCCAACCCCAAATCCTGCATCGAAAAGCTGAACAAACCTTTTGCCATTTTGATATTTGCATGCTCCTATATGGACTGGCTGTGGCAATGTAATGCCTGTATAATGTTTTCAAATAAAAAAAATAAATGCTTTATGAAAGCAGGGTTATTAGTTTCCTTGCCTGTTTCCTTTCTTCTTTCTTAGCCTAAAAAGATTTGTCTGAAGTGTAAATCTTGACTGCAGGGCATAATTTTTCACTGTGCTGAGGACTTCTTTCCCTTGTGAGGTGGTTAACCTACAGCTCCTTCCAAGGTGTCTACGCATAGGTGCCGTTAGGCACCCTCAGGTATCTTGCCTGGCCCCCACGAGCTGGTCCGGAAGGATAAGGGGTCTCCTGTGCACCCTCTGTCTTAACCTGCCATTCCCCTATGGCTAGCTCAGGTATCCTGGTATTTCTTGCCCTCATTTGGACAGAAAAGCACTCGTCCTCTGCCTTCCTGAACTGGTTAATCACTCTAGAATTAATCTGGAGCAAGGCACATGTGTGATGTTGAAGGGCTTATCTGGCAGCGGTTACTGAGCGTCTGCAGCTCCTTGCCCAGCCCTCCCTCCCGCCTGCTCTGCCCTGGGGGGCACCGGCGCCGGCCCCGCTGCAGCTCTGGTCCCTGGAGAGTCCTGAAGCAGGAAAAGAATGGATGGAGACAAAAATTAGGCATCAGAGGGAGGAGTGTCAGGAGGAGCAGAACTGGGGAAAGAAAGAAAACGAGGCCTTGGCTCGTTTAAAGTCCACACGGGAAGAAAGGAAAGGAAGATCTGAGTGTGTGAGAGCAAGGGATCTTGTGAGCATGTGTTCACCTCTAAGAGCATCTGCCAGCATTTGCACCTGTCCGCCTCCCTTTGCCTGATGTCTCCCCAGGAAACTTCGCATCCGTATTTCTCACAGGCTTCACTGATGAGAGTAAAGAAGGGAATGGAGACCGGCGAGCTCATTTCCAGCCTCTCCCTGCGCCGTAACTGCATGGGACCCCAGACGTTACAAAGCCAGCAGTGCTGCACCAATGTGCAGGCCTAAGTCTGATTTTCCAGTGTAAATGTTTCCTGAGTTATTGAGAGCTCCAGACACTGAGTTAGTGTGTGCATGGCTTTATCATGCTAGCAGGTGATTTGTATCTGCCTCCAAATCTGCTCAAGAGTCTCTCTGGCATTACAAAAACCTCCTTTTATTGCCTGGCTAGAATTCAGCCTGGGTGCTTGAATACGAATATGAATAGTAATTGCTTGGAATTACTCATAATAGTAATATGAGTCATATGAATAGTAATTGCTTGGAATTACTCTAAAAATAGATCATAAATTGGCATTAATGGATCTTTCTGTGCTTAAATCAAACGTGTTTCAACACTGAAGGACACTCAATCAGCTTAAACCTACCAGTCTCGTTTTTGTTTATTGAGAACTAATTCTCCAAAATATTACAAATCCAAAGCTGAATTCGTAACAGCAATATGCTATGGCATGCAAATAAGGAAGCAATACTTTTTGCAGTTATAAAAGTTTTGTTAAGTCTGCTCCACAATTTAAGACAAAAAATATGTCAGACCTTTGCGACAGGGAGCACCTCTGCTTGTGCAGCCACAGACCTGTTCCCACAGCAGTTGCGAAGTGGGTAGCAAACGCCAACCACGCAGCAGTGATGATGTCATTGGAGTCAGAGCATTGGCCATGGCATCCTCCTCTTCCTCCAATCTGAAGTGCAGGGTCATGCTGGGTGCTCGTTCCATAGGGCTGGGATCACTAATCAGTGATTAGTCACAGACTGGCTGTGAGCCACCAACAAGAGGCCAAAACCCACAAATTGACCACAAAAAGCCAGTTGTAGCCCTCAGACATCGTAACTTGCGTTGCAATTGGTATTTCAGTCTCAGTAAAAGGCCCACAATGTTTCTTCAGGCCCCGTCGCTGGCTGGGTGGCAGAGAGCAGCCTCCACAGCCTTGGAAAACATGGAAAACAC